TCTTACGGCACGCTTTTGGGCAGGCATTGGGTCTTGTTTCCCCCCCACAATGGGGTCCCCGATCCCACACAGGGAGAAAAAGTAACATTAAAAATGTATTGCCCCTTTTCAGGAAACACTCGAAGACAATGTCCTTTTTCCGCAACTATTTCTTCCCACTGGAGCTTCGGTTCACAACCAGCACTGTAAAAGCTGTCACTATGATATATGATGTAAGCATATATATAAAACATATATTTAATGTATATATGATGTAAAGATAGGTGTTTATACAATCATTAATAGATGTACATGCTGTAAAAATGGCTGTTTATAACATCTTTTTTTTTTCTACATTACATGTTGTAAATAAGCTACATATGCGTTCATACTTACACAAGTGCAATAATTATAGGCATAGACTACCGACATTCAACTCAATAGGATATCACATCGAGTGATAAACACACAGTGACACAAAATGCCACCATTAAGATGAGGATTACCCGAGGACAGGTCCCAGAAACAGCGTTCAACCCATAAGTTGGGTTATATTAGGGCCCTCAGCAACAGCCAGGGTGGGGACTTAAAAACAAAAACAAATTGCATCCGACATTGGAAAGCGGTAAAATAATATAGGTATAGACACAATCATTGACTGATAAACTCAGCCAAATTATATAAACATAGCTACGACACGGACACTGATTCACATATATGATGCTGAGCTGATTCAAGAACTGATATCACAGCACTTTATAATTATGCTTTATTGTATAAGGCAGATAAACCAAGGGTTTCTTAGCAAAAGAGAAATTGGCAAGAGAACGAAAATGGCTGTTTACTGCTCTACCTATGTACCAGTCCTGACCTATAGGTGTGAGTCATGGGCAATGACAAATGCTCACAGAAGCCAGCTTCAGGCCTCAGAAATGTCTGAGAAAGGTGGTCCAAGTGACAAGAACGGATAAAAGTCTGCAATCAGACAATACGTCATGATCTTGATACCCGAGTGGATCAGTCACAATTACGATGGTTTGGACATGTATGCAGAATGGGAAGCTAAGAACCTGAGAACCAGACTCCAGGGTGACCCAGGGTTTGCTGAGAAGACAACATTCGACAGTCCCTAAATGACAGAGGACTGGAATGGAACAAAGCCAGAGAGAAAACTGCTAACAGAGACATCTAGCGACCTCTCTTGCAAGCTTCTGCACCCCAAGGTAGAAGAGCAGCGACTAAGTAATTAAGTAAGTAGAGTGGTTGTTGTACTAGCCCCAGCAGACTGGACTTTACCTGGTACCCATTTTGAGTTGGGTCGATCTGGGGGTGCTTTATTAATATCCCACCCCAAACAGGAGAAATCCACAGGTCACGGGACAGTCTAAAGTTTCAGGGGGTGATAGATAGTCTGCATGCAGTAGTGGGACCTAGGCTGCATGCAGTCATGGGACCTAGGCTATACTCTCTCAGGGGACGTAGGTGGGTTGGGGTTAGGCCCAGTTCTAGTTGTTTTGGGGTTGTTAAAACGCATCAGAAAGCTGCGAAACCTGCTCTTACCAATTAAAAAATACTGGACTGTCCCGTGACATCATCCTGGGGGGAGATATTGGGAAAGCACCCAGAAGTGTTAACTTAGAAGTTTCATGCCGCAACAGGGTTAGCTTATCTGAGATGGGCATTTTTTGGCCTGTAGATAAGTCCTGGACGTTTCACCATTTCCCAATCCTGGAGTGCCAAGGTCCGATTTCCGTGCTGACTGGAGAATAAAGCATTCTTGTGGTTTCCATCCTATTCTAATCTGTGCAACTTTCTCAATATCCTTAAAGGAATGTTGTCCATCACTTTTGGTCTCTCTCCACGTTTGTTTTAGGCTTTCTTTTGGATGATTTCGCTTCCCATTTCAGAGCCCGTTTAGTGATTCTCTGTCCCTTTCTCTTCATGATGTACCAAATATACTGCTGGTTCTTTGACTTATAAATGATGATACAAGTGGCTGTCCACTTATAAATGATGATACAAGTGGCTATCAACTTATAAATGATGATACAGATGGTTGTTTACTTATAAATATCAGTTAAAGCCAAATCTTGTGGATGATTGACAAAACAATTTTTCTACCCTCCAACCAATACAGAATGCCCAAGACAGACAGATAGAGAGAAAGAGAGAGAGAGAGACAGAAAGAGAGATTACATCAAAATAAAGAAAAGCCAAGCACCTTTAAGAGCGAGCAAAAGAACAGTCAAAGAAGTCATTATAATTTTCATTAAGCCACAGCATTCCAGACATTTCAAGCTGGTGGCACACTTTTTAGAGAAACACAATTTTGCGACACAGTAATTCAGTCTACAAGCAAACCAGAGGTTCAACTAATCCCTTTTAACAGATACGAATACATACATAAATTACGTTCATGTGACAAACCTTCACAGTGCAGCAGTCAAACTAATGTGCAGCGACACAGTTTGGAAAGCTTTGCAATGTGCTATCCTAGCTATCCTCTTTGCATGAAAAGTCTCTCATTCAGAGAGCAATGCGACGGAAACATGAAATTATAGGTCCTCAAAATGAATAAAAAAAATTTTTTTAATCAGAATTTTCACTGCTTTGCTAAAAAACCAAAACTGTCACGTTCAACCAGCATATCTAAAGTGGGAGCTTTAGGTTATAATTGTGACTAGGTTATGTGCACCACATAAAATGGCTTAACAATGCCCACCACCAAGCAGCTCTGAAAAGAACTCTTGCAATGCTGAAGCTATCAAAGGAGACAGACCCAAATTCTATCCCGACCAGCGAAGAAGTCGTCTCCCGGCCAGCCAATGGGCGATCCGGTCACCGATGATCTAAATTGTCACAGCAAATAATATCTATATAATAATCACACCCACCATGTCCACACACTTTGCAGCTGCAGCCACTACCAAAGCTGTCATACAGGTGTATTGTGCCCTGCCCTGTCCTATGTTATCAGGTCCACCAAACCCATAAAAGTCGGGGTAAGAAGGTTAAAGAATATTAAACCTAGCCCAATCAAGATTTTGTGTGGCTCTGTGGCTTAGAGGTCAGTGAAACTGTTTCACAATGCATCTTCAACTCTTCTTATCCTTATTAGCGCTCATTGGCGATGGAATGTTTTGGTTGTTTGTCAACTTCTGGACTTTAGTCTTGTTCTAGAAGATGAGTTTTATATTTTATTCTGTGCAGAATTAGGGACTATACATATTTTGATTGTTTCCATCCCTAGCTGCTGAAAAGCCAAGGACAGATTCCTTGTGGCAGGATGAGCTTCCAGACCGCTGCCAGGCTGGACGCAGGTGATGACGGAAGTGCCCTGAGGAAGGTCTTGGTCTTGGTGATTAGGACAGATTTAATGTCCCACCTCATTCTCTGAAACAGATGATCCTTTGGGAAACCCCTGGTGGTAATTGTTTTGTCTTCTTCTTCTTCTTCTGCTTTGTTCACCAGCTTTAAACTCCGGCAGAAAGTTCTGGTTGTTCGTCCACTTCTGGGCTCTAGTCCTGTTCCAGAAACTGAGTGTTGCGTGCACATAAGTTTCACAGGTCGACTCATTTGCAAAGCAGACTTTTGGTTCCTTGCCTCTCAGGCAGATGTACTCCGACTTCGAAGGAATTGTTGTGTTATTTCTCACTAACCCTCTCACAACGACTGTTTAATGTGACTTTCATTTTTATTCCTTCATATCTATTTAGTTTGAGGAGTGCATTACAAAGGTAATTAGATGAATTGTATTAACTTTAATTTTAATAAACATTTCTATGATTGATTTACCTTTATAGTTAAATTTTAAAGTATTTCTAGATGTTCATGGTGTCAGGTTAGTGCTGTATATCAAAATACCTATTTTAGATGGGGGCCTATTTAATGATCAGAAGAAAGGCACATTGTCAGGAGGGAGTAATTTGCTCTGTCTAGCTGTTCGTTCATAAGTGTTCTCTAGGCATCTAAATCAGGCAAGAATGGATTGCAACACTAAGCAATTCACCAATAGCTGCCTAACCTTCAACTTTGTGCCAGGTCATGTGGGTGTTCAAGGGAACGAGCGTGCAGCCCATCTTGCTGACACTGCGGCTGCTATGGGCTGGTCCAGTACTGAACAGAAATGATGTTATCAATGCCATGTGCTGCACTGACCGAACCAAGAAGCATGCCAAATGATATGACTTCGTATCCCTGTCTAGACCGATGGACATGGGGGTGCAGCCTGCAAAAAATGAACATTTCACTAAGAGGACAAGACGTTTCATTAACCAACACAGAACAGGCGTCATCAGTAGTTTTACACTTGTGGAGCTTTTGAGGAGGAGATCGGAGCACCTATGGATCTGTCCGGAGTGCTGTGATGATAATCCTTTCTAATCACTAGGCATCTAAATGCTCTTTTTCCTGTACTGGGGATATTCAGGCAGCTCACTTTCTTTCCCGAGCCAATTCGAGTCTGTATCTGGGTATCCAGGGACACTGTCTGCTCTTTGCATCAAAAGACAGCTATCTCGGTCTCTCGCTTGCATTAGGAAGGAGGATTTAAACCCACACCCACCACCATAGGGCGTAAAAAGAAACCCGCTTCATGACAACGCCCCTAATTCTTCTTCTTTTTCTGCCTTTCTATCCCCCAATGGAGCATAGGCCCTCAACCAACTCGTTCTATCCTTTGCTAATACAAGGACCTCTCCCTATATCCTTTCCATCTTTCTAACTTCATTCTCCAGCTCTCTTCTCCATGTGTTTTTTGGCCTTCCTTTATTATTATGCCCCTGAGGGTTCCAAGGCAAAGACATTCTATTTACGCTAACGCCCCTAATTAGCTGATGTTTACGAATGCTTGTTAGTGTGGCAGTGGGTCTATTCTCTCTCCCCCCCCCCCACACACACACACACACACAATGAGCTCCCGGAACCCACACCAGGTCTGAACTCCAATGAATCTGAACAGTTACAGCTTGGGGAAAAAAGCACGGATGGAATGATACACTCTGGTGACATCCTGGAAGTTATCATTCAACAGATAAATATTTCAATGCCTTGATTCCGTACTTCTTGGATAAATCTCTCTGGAACTCTGCTTTGAGTATCTTGAGGCATCTGTGGACAAGACAAGAGAAAATTTAAATCTCTTTTAGACACGCAGAAGTTTGCATTTGTGACAAACCAGTTATGAAAACATTTCATTATTTAAACATACAGGGTTCTATTTGGCAAAAATTACCATAAATAAATGATTTACAAATATATGATCTCATACATTAAAGATCAAACACAAACGCTGAGACAAAAACTACTAAAATAAATGATTTATAAATATTTTATCTCATAAAAATACAAACACGTTCAGACCAAAATAACTATTCTTCTTCTTCTTCTTCACTTCCTCTTTTACCGCTGTGGGTGTCGAGGGAGATATAAGGTTCTGTTTCTAGCTCTTCTGGCTGCCTCGACCATAGGCACATCGTGCTGTTGTAGAGTTTCTCTGATGTTATCCTTCCATCTTGTTCTTGGTCTACCCCGTGTTCTACGTCCTTCTTCTCTTTCCATGTATGCTTTGAATGGTATGGTGTCACAAGGCATTCTCTCTAAGTGGGCAAACCATTTAACAAATAATATACATGTATTTTAAAAATAGGAAGTAAATTTTTGTTTTAATAAACATAAATAAACAAAGACAATAAATATAAGAAAATGTAAAGCAAATGTTTCTTTTCACACCAGCAGCACATTAAAAATATAGTGCTAGACCTGCTGCCTTTACTTCCTTGAACTTTTCCTTGTACCCATCTCAGGCTGAGTCGATCTGGGACAGTAAGTAAAGTAAAGGACCCTTTTCCACACCTTCGGTAGTGTTGGGCATATAGGGTTAGACCTATATTTTACAGACCAATCCGCACTAGGCGGATCATGTGGTCAATATCCAGCTAGCCACCTTTACTTCCCAGGAAGGCTGGGTCAACCTCGAAGAAAAAGTGGAAAAAAAAAAAAATAAATCTGGGTCCATCAGGATTTGATCGAGTAACAAATCAATTTAGAAATACCAGCATTAGAGAGAAAGTTGGAAGAAGGCGAGGGGAAAACCAAAAAAGAGATGAAGTAAATGGTGTGAGGTAGTGTTTCCAAAACTTTTCTTAGTCGTAGCACATTTTCCCAATTAAAATTTGTCCACGGCCCCCAAACCTAAGAAAAAGTATGACTATTCGTATGTAAGAGAATAAAAAAAAAATATCAAACTCGTGGATCTTCGAATATTTCGCGGTGCCCCTTTGAAGAGGTCCCAGGGTGCCGCGGCTGAGGGTCCCCCGAGGGACATATAGGTCAATTGAGTGAGTGACGTTCAACCCCACAAAGACAGCACAATGAGCGACTTGCACCTGGTGACACAAAGTGCGTGAGAATACCCTGGATGCAAGTCTCAGAAACTCCATTTAACCGTTGGGGTATATTAAGGCCCTCGACGACAGCCGGGATGGAGCTTCGATATAAAAAAAAAACAATGAAGTCCCATATTGGGACAGAGATTACAACACAATGGGTCACATTTGTGTCATCTTGAGGGCCATACATGACAACTAACTAATGTTGAATGTTGAATTAAGACTGTACATCACAGCACTCGGGACACCCCCATAAGCGCTCTGGCACTGTCTTCAGCAGCAAGCGAAGAGTTACAATTCTGATGGTACCAGTAACTGTCTGATTACAACTAACTGATGTCTGTTAATAAAAATTAGGGCAGAACATTTCCTTTGTGCAGGCCGCAGGTGTGCTTGAATGGGGCCCCTGCAGCTGCCAGTTTGACACGCCTGGCGTAGCTGAAACCTATAAAAAGGTAACAAATCATCACCTATGAAGAGCACAACGAATATAGAAAAACCACGACATGGACTGTTAGTTAATCGAAAGATTAACCTCACTACACATCGGACAAGTCCATTAGCACTCGGATCCCATCTTCAGTATATTCCCCAGCGTGTGGTGACTGATGACACCAGTTTGGTGTTGGTTTACTATTCTTCTTTTACTACCTGTATATAGTGTTCATGTTTGGCGACACCTCTTTTGACCTGAAGTTCTTGAAGACTTTAGAGTTTTGCCAATTCAACGTGGTCTCCTGAATCATCTTCTCATCCTGCCTCCTTGAGAGCATTGAGAATGTCGGCTCGATCCACTGCTTTTTCCTGTACTGACCGTGGCCCTGCCAGCAAGCCAATTCACTTGTTCATTCTCATTTACCCCAGAGAGTCCTGGCACAAAAATGAAATTAATTTCTTTCAGTTGAGATTTCATCAGTGAGTGTGGACTACAACCAGGTATCAATGAGATGACAAAAGATGGCAGGAGAAAACCTAGGAGCCAAGGTCATTTAAACACAAACATGACTCAATACAGATTCTGACCCAAGATCTTCGAAACTAAAGGTGGAGCAGCTAGCTGCTATGCCACCGTAGCTTACATAAACATAAGTAAAGAAATACAACAAAATGATAATATACTTACTTTCTATACAGTGAACTAGACCTGAACTTTGCTATATCGAAGCTGGGAGCATGTGGCATGTGAATGATGAAAGCATTGGGCAGAATCACAAACTCAAACCTGAAAACAAAGTTTATTGACACGAGAGATTTATATCCATGAATCGTCTTCTTCTTTTCAGTGTTCACTGGCAAGAAGGCCTGTCTTAGACAGTTCTTGGTCTTTTAGTCTTGTTCCAGAACATGCATATCCGTTTTACACTTCTGGCTTATCTGTAAGCAGATTGTTGGTTCCTTGCCTCTCTCGGGCTGATACCTTCAGAACCCAAATGAGGAATATCCAAGAACCAATTAGGTGCTTGTTGCGAGACAGCCCACACCCCTTTCATCTTAGACTGGTGTGGATCTTTGTGCTTCTATGCTAATGAGACATATTTGAAATATGGACTATACTCTTTAGGTAAATAGTCCATATTTTAATCTTAGGTGTCTAAATGTCGGAATTTACCCTTATATCTCGTGATCTTATCCTTCCTACTTGTATCACAGTCTGTCTTTTGCTCGCCTGCTTTAACTTCTGCCTTCTTATAGTTTTTAAAACAGTGTCATGTTTTACAAAAATGGCCAAAACATTTCAGGTGTCATTTTTAAAAATTCCTTTCTACAACTGTCTTTTCCTTCCAGGTCTCTTCAGAACCTCTGTATTCAATTGTTTTTGCTTTCATTATTCTTCATTCTCTTACTTTTAGCCCTCTGTGGAGCACAGACCCTCGGCCAACTTACGTCAAATCGTCCCTAAAATGTTAACTTAATTCCCAAATGGGTTCTGCGGCCAGATTGTGAGGAAAACAAGAATAGACCCACTGCCTCTTTAACAAGCATGTCCAAGGAGACGACTATTTAGGGGCTTCCGTTGAAGTGAAAATGCATCTGCCTGAGAGGCAAGGAACCAACAATCTGCAGACAAATAAGCCAGATCTGTAAAACGGATGTGCACGCAACTCTCAAGTTTTCGAATAAGACTAAAGTCTAGAGGTGGAAGAACAGCCAGAACTTTCCGCCGGAATGTTTAGCTGGTGAATTTGAAGAAGAAGAGTGTCCAGCCAGAGATAAGAATATTATTATAAGAATATAAAAATGCTGACCTTATGGGGGTCAATAGAAATTAAAACTAATACTAAACTTCAGATTTGTAATTCTAATGTCAGATCAGTACTGCTGTATGGGGCAGAAACACGGACAACAACTGGTGTGATTATTAATAAACTACAAACATTCATATGAAATGGTTTGGTCACCTAATGAGAATGGAACCAACAATGCCAGCATCAAGAGCATACAACATGAAAATCGAAACACCAAGAGGCAGGGGAAGACCAAGAAGAAGATGGATTGAAGGAGTCACGGACAACTTGAGACTTCATAACATCACGGCATATGAAGCGACTGAGAGCGCCCTGGCTCGGTTGCCGATCATCTGATAGACTACGACGCCTAGCGGCACAAGCAGATTTTGACAAAAGAAGAAGAAGAAGAAGAGACAAACATTCATAAACTGGTGCTTGTTCAGAATAGTGGGAATTAAATGTTACGATAGAATCACTAATGTAGAGCTATGGGAGAGAACTAAAAAAAGTTCCACTGGACCTAGAGGTGAAGAAAAGACGCTGGCATTGGATAGGACACGTTGAGAAAACCTGAGAACAATATAACTAGAATGTCTTTGCACTAGAACCAACAGGGGCATTGAAATGAAGACAAAAAAAAAAAAAACACAGAGAATGGAGCTAGAGAGCAAAGTTAAAAAGATGAGGAGGACATGGGAAGAGCTGCATGTGATAGTGAAGGATAGAACGACTTGGCGTGAGTTGGTTGAGGGCTATGCTCTATGGGGGGGGGGGGGGGGGGGGGGGGGGAGAGAGAAGAAAGGCAGAAGAGAGAAGATACAAATTTTGCTGCATAATCAAATTCTTGTTGGTTAGTTGCATATCCTTTACAGGATGTTGCAGAACCAACCCCAACAGCCCCTGGCTGTTGCGTGGTTTTTCTAGGCAAATTTATGTCCAGTAGTTTGCCATTGCTTTCTGGACAGTCGGCTTTCTTGATACCACTGTCAAAACCAACGCAAGGCGCATGGCCCGCAGCTGGGATCGAACCCGGCATCCCGGCATTACGAAGCGTCCGCATCGACTTAGCCACAGAGCTGACATAATCAAATTATATAGTCTGAAAAATGTATAAACATTTTTGAACAAGTCCCTTCACTGTAGATCTATCTAGATTTAGAGTTAAAAGCTGAAGTCAAGTGGATGGATTTTCCTGCACTGGGTTATCTCGCATGGCTCAGTTTCTCTCCACAGAATGGACTGCTGCCTGCCTAGAGCATCACATGAAGCCTGAACTCCATAGCTCCAGTGTCGATCCCCAAGAATTTCCGTAAAAATTGCATTGTGGACTGAACGAGGGATCAGTGAAATTAACCTATGACTTTCAGAGATTAAGGTTTCAAACCTCCGACCATCATACTGTCCTGAAAGAGATTACAGTTTCAAACCTCCGAACTCCATACTGTTCTAAAAGAGAATAGGGTTTCAAACCTCCAACCTCCATACTGTTCTGAAAGACATTAAGGTTTCAAACCTTTAACCTCCATACTGATCTGAACAGAGATCAAGGTTTCAAACCTCCTACCTCCATGTGAGTCTTTGTATTTTTCATGGCCACATACTGGATAATTTGTATCCAGACCTTGCACTTCCTTGAATAATTTAAGAGTTAAACAATCATCAGCATCAAGTGCCTTGACAATTTGTGTGAGCCAGTGTTTCCCAAATTTTTCTTAGTCGCAGCGCCTTTTTTCAATTAAAATTTTCCTGCGCCGTCCTAACCTAAGTAAAAGTATGACTATTCATGTGTAAGAGATAAAAAAAAAAAAATTTAAACTCGTGTCTCTTTGAATATTTTGCGGGGCTCCTGTGAAGAGGTTGCGGCTCCCCAGGGGCGCCACGGCACACAGTTTGGGGATCACTGGTGTGAGCAATTATGTTTCTTCTCTTCCTGTCTGGCAACCTCTAACAGCATGTAAAAGTTTACATACAAAAGGTTGTCAAAAGGTTGTCAACATATTTTTGTTTGGTTTTCTTCCTCCATCTCTCTTCCCCAAAACTGGTCTGTTTGCCTGGTCTAGTTTTGCATGAAAGAGCAAATTTGTGTGTGTGCATGACTGGCTCCAGCTGACAGGCCCTGCTGCTGACATCACCGGGTCGGGCTAACGATGCGTTAAAGCAGCGGCTCTCTAACTGGGTGCCGAGGCACCACGGAGTGCCGTGAGCCTATGACAGGGGTGCCGCGGCAATAATCAAGAAAAGTCGGCTAAAAATTGTGAAATTATTAAAGAAAGCATGTAGATACTTAAAAGTTGATATTGAAGTTGTCTTCCCTGGCCACTGTGGACAATAGTTTATTTCTTGTTTGAGAACCGTTGCGTTAACGCATTGTTAGTAGAACCGGTGAGGTCAGCAGCACGGCCTGTTAGCTGGAGTCGGCCCTGGTGTGTGTGTGTGTGTATGTGCGTGCGTGTGTGGGTGGGTGGGTGGGCTACAAAAGACATTGCTACAAGAACACTTGACAAGGGAAACACATTCTGAAAACCGTCGATGAACGAATGCTGACAGAAGACATGAGGGTAGATGAAATGACATGCATAAGAATGTGTGAACGTGGAATCAGGTGTGGATCTGGCAAGGAGTGACGTATGAGATGAAGTATGTATTGGATCTGGCAAGGAGTAACGTAGGAGATGAAGTATGTATAGGATCTGGCAAGGAGTGATGTATGAGATGAAGTATGTTTTGGATCTGGCAAGGAGTGACGTATGAGATGAAGTATGTATTGGATCTGGCAAGGAGTGACGTATGAGATGAAGTATGTATTGGATCTGGCAAGGAGTGATGTATGAGATGAAGTATTTATTGGATCTGGCAAGGAGTGACGTATTAGATGAAGTATGTATTGGATCTGGCAAGGAGTGACGTATGAGATGAAGTATGTTGGATCTGGCAAAGAGTGACGTATGAGATGAAGTATGTATTGGATCTGGCAAGGAGTGACGTAGGAGATGAAGTATTTATGGGATCTGGCAAGGAGTGACGTATGAGATGAAGTATGTATTGGATCTGGCAAGGAGAGACGTATGAGATGAAGTATGTATTGGATCTGGCAAGGAGTGACTTATGAGATGAAGTATGTATTATCAGTGTGCCACGGGAACAGTTAGCATCTACACCTCAAGACATTTGCTGCGGGAGACGGAGTATCTATGGGTATGCCCGGAGTGCCAGGATGTTGGTTCTTGAATCAGTATTCAAAAATCTTCCTATAATTAATAAACAATACTCTGTGAAATGGGTTCAAATAAAAATCTAGCAATGGTTACAATAGATTTCTTATGAGAATTAAAAAATATATTTTACAGTTACCCTTGAGCATCTAACTCCATAATGTGAGATACTTTGTTCCAACCAAATCCCAGAAACCTCTGGTCATACAATGGAATGTCCTTGCGTACCACCACATATGGCTCAAAATCCTGCTCCCAAGACACCTGAACCAATGAAAGAGGTGTTAAATAGTTAACAATCATTAGAGGTCAAAGGTAACATAATCATGCTGGTAGTCAGTTCGCAACAGCTTTACAGAAATGAAGATCAACTTAACATAACACATCAGAACAAGCACATGGAAGATCCTTACATTTCTCTCCCAATGCTTCGATGATGTAAATGAAGGAAGAGAAGAAGAACGTAGTCTGTTACTTCCCTTGTGGGGACGACTAATTAAGGGTCTTTCTTTTGAAGTCCGAGCGTATCTGCCTGAGAGGTGAGGAACCAACAGCCTGCACACAGATAAGCCAGATCTGTAAAATGGATGTGCAGGCAGAACTCAAGTTCTGAAAACAGAACTGGTATCCTCAGCTGTTACATGCTGTGGGATCTACCAAGGAGGGGATCCCAGCACTTACAGATTGAATGGTCTGATATGCAGTGAGTATAATCTCCCCATTAACTACTAGCCAACTGGCCTGAAAAACAATCCTGCCATTTCTGGGAATTAAACCCAGACACGGTTATTAAAACGTTGGTCTCCCCAGGAAAAGTAGGTTAATTTCATTGATAGGTTTGTTGGACTAGTCTACCATGGTCAAGGTTATGGGTGTGGTGGTATGTTGTTGTGCTGCATTTACGTTTTTATTCCGAGAAAAAAGACTGCCTGTGACATAGGTTTCATCATTCTCTAGGGGGTTTGTGCGTTAGACCCAATTTAAAAATCTTTTTTGGAGTGTTTAAAGCTCTGTCATGGTGAAATCTACAACACACGATATCGATGGCATTGCAGAACAGCCCTCGTCACCTTGTGTGAAAGTCGGATGGCTCGAGGCTGACCAATCATAGGTGAGGTGGGTTGAAGGTCGACCAATCAGAAGAAAGCTAGTGTGTATCGGTGTGTAGAATGGGGAGATTATCTTTCATTTTACTCCCAGACATATGTCATGGCAGAGAAACTCACTAACCCCTATGGCTTGGAGAAGTAACTTTACCTCCACAGTGTGGGTTGCTTGGCCCACCATTTGGGGGGGGGGGGGGGTGAAACAGACCCACTACCCTTCTCCTTCTCCCCCCCCCCCCCCCCTACAAACAAGCATGTAATAAAATTCTACTAATTAGGGGTGTATCTTTTGAACTCGGAGTGCTCTGTTCCATTTTCCATCTTCTCATAACATGGCAGAAAAATGGTGACTGTCTCCTTCTGATGTCTGTGATTAGTGGTCTTGGGGCTCCCGCCTTTTTTGAAACCTCTTGGTTGCTCTTTTTGGCTGTCTAAGGTATTTTAAGCATTCTTCTGTAAAACCACATTTCTGAGGCCTCAAGAACTAACTATTATCAGAAGAAAAAACTTGCCATGACTAAAAACAAACTCTGAAAGTCGTGAATTCCAATCAACTAATTAACCATAACAAAACTTACAGAATATGGTGTGGTGGCTGTTCTCCATTTAGCAAAATTTGTGGGTTCATGGCCTTTTGGCCACACGTGATATCTGGATAAAATCAAACAATATTAAAGTCACCAGAAGAGGTTGCAACTTACTGTCATCAGGTAGCCCCCATAACTGCTCCATTTCTGTACCACCAACAACCGTACAAACTGATCCCAGCAACAACCGTACAAACTGATCCCAGCAACAACCATACAAACTGATCCCAGCAACAACTGTACAAACTGATCCCAGCAACAATAGTACAAACTGATCCCAGCAACAAACGTACAAACTGATCCCAGCAACGACCGTACAAACTGATCCCAGCAACAACCGTACAAACTGATCCCAGCAACAACTGTACAAACTGATCCCAGCAACAACCATACTAACTGATCCCAGCAACAACCAGACAAACTGATCCCAGCAACAACCATACAAACTGATCCCAGCAACAACCATACAAACTGATCCCAGCAACAACCATACAAACTGATCCCAGCAACAACTGTACAAACTGATCCCAGCAACAACTGTACAAACTGATCCCAGCAACAACCGTACAAACTGATCCCAGCAACAAACGTACAAACTGATCCCAGCAACAACCGTACAAACTGATCCCAGCAACAAACGTACAAACTGATCCCAGCAACAACTGTACAAACTGATCCCAGCAACAACCATACTAACTGATCCCAGCAACAACCATACAAACTGATCCCAGCAACAACCATACTAACTGATCCCAGCAACAACCGTACAAACTGATCCCAGCAACAACTGTACAAACTGATCCCAGCAACAACCATACAAACTGATCCCAGCAACAACCATACAAATTAATCATAACTCTCCTATGGGCCACATGAAATAGGCGGTAGTTCCAACAAGACCAGCAACATGCACATGCATTCAAAACACAGGGTAATAACACCTAGGAATGAATCAAGAACTGACATCACTGACAACTCAGGACATTCCCACAGGTGCTCTGTCCCCTTCTTTAGTAGCTAGAGAAGGGCTAACATGCTAACAGTACCCAGTTGCAGCCTGATTAAAAGTACGCCTATGTTTACCCCTCGGTGTTGAATATCTTCTAGAACCTTAACCCCCCCCCCCCCCCCCCCCCTTACCTAATGAATCAGTCGTTCTTCATGTTCTACTGTACTGTCTATGTGATACCAGAGAGCTTACACCACACCCACTTTGTCCTCAAGTAGCTCACCACCCAGAGTTGCAGCACCTAATCTATCAGTCTTTTCATTATCTCGCACATCTGAGTCTTCTGGGACCCCCCCCCCCCCCCATCCCAGATGCATTCCGACTTGGAAGGAAACAATTTAGTTGACTGTTAAGACATGCTTCTCAAGGAGCAGTGTGTAATTACACCCTGCCGCCATTATGGGGCCCCAGAAGGGAAGCTAAAGTACAAAATACTAAATATTTGCCTGGCAACAGTTTGACAAGAAAATATGTTTTCACTTTCTCTGTTAATACGTGGTGTAGACTAAGTTTTAATTCCATATTCTGTAACAACATGACATCCTATGTTTATGGACATAACACATTTTGATGATGAAGATGTAACAACTGTTATCAGATACTGTTCCCCTATTATTTTATATGATCCCTCTGTCAATAATTTTTCATCAGTCCAAAAGAAACTGTTGATCTAAACTAAACTGACTGGCTCCTTCCCGTCTTTCCAGACAATACTGCACTATGAGGAGGCAGGGACTCACAGCCCATGACGATGGTGTATGACTAGCAAGACATGCATGCATTAAGAAAAGTCTTCCACAGTCAATTACGGCTAGGGATATAGTCTATCCTCTCCATAGCACAAAACCTGGGCAGTTGCCCATGCATCGTGGTCCCTCTCTTGACCTGCCTTAGTATATAGTCCATTATACTTCATTATCACATGACTGGAAACACAAAGCTACACCCGTACATGTGTACTCAGTGATTCCATGAGTATGATCTGGAGGGTTTCAGTGCAAAGGCAATGGCTTGAATCATTACAGAAATTAATTGTGTGTGGAGTCACCTTTATTTTCGTTCTGGGATATGGGGGTATCAATGGGAATGAAAAAGCTGATAGTTTGGCTGTATCCGCTATCACTACCGACCGTCAACCTATGGATTAGGCTGATATTATTAATGTCCTTCGAGAAATAGGAAGAATGGAGGGTTTTGGGGACAGCGAATCCACATCACTTGACCAGAATGAAAGACTTGAAAGTTAAGATCAGCAAAGCAAAAAATGAGAAGCACACCAGGCACATCAGATGACTTGTTAATCAACCCAGAACTGGTACTATTAGCCACCGGATGCTGGGGTTCATACGGAGTGGAGGATCTGTGCACCTATGGACATGTCCTGAGTGCAATGATGATAATCCAACTAACTTAGCTAACTTACTTCATCATCTAGGGAACAAATAATGAACAAACAAACCTGAATGTAAACAGGGTACCCATATCAAGCATGGACAGTAACTCTGTTTTAGATTTGGGAAACTGCAGACGATAACGCTGAGTCTCAAAGGCTGGCACAACAAGAGCCTGTGCAGAAAAATGGTGCAACAGTGACACTTAAGGATTACAAGTGAAGATTGAAAAGTTATAATATCAGTGAGTAGGTCCTCTACAGAATGTCAATCTCATGCCTGAAAGTCTCTCCTTCTCTCCAGCCCTATGTGCTTTCACAGCCAATGCATCTTCAGTGTATTGAATCCATCTTTGTGGAGGTCTGTCTCTGTCTTTTTGTGTGGAAAATGTACCCTCCATCGCTGTTCTCTCCAGGACACCAAGATGTTTAACAGGGCCGAAATACCTGAGCTTTCAGGACAGGATGCTGTTTATGAGCCAATTCTCCTTGATTCTCAGATTATGTAGGATGATGGTCTTTTTCTTCTTCTTGGTCCATGGTATTCTAAGAATTTGTCTGTAGAATTTCAGTTCAAAAGCTCAAATTTTTATCTTTAATGATTAAGACTACATGGGGGGGGGGGGGGGGGGGGGGGGGGGGGGGGGGGGGGGGGGGGGGGGGGGGGGGGGGGGGGGGGGTGGGGGGGGGGGGGGTGGGGGGGGGGGGGGGGGGGAAGGTGTAATTACTACTACATTTCCCTTAACTTCTTTAGCAAAAATAAACATACTAATCAGGGACTGGGCTAGTGGCTCAAAATCCATTAAGTACAACCCCCACCCTCCCCCTACCTCTTCTGCTTCTTCTTCACCTCCTCGTTTACTATTTTGGGTGTTGAGAGAGAGAGATATAATGTTCTGCTTCTTGCTCTTCTGGCCGCCTCGACCACAGATACACTGTGCTCTTGTAGAGTTTCTCTCATTTTATCTTTCCATTTTGTTCTGATATACACTGTGCTCTATGACCTCCTCTTTCAGTGTATGCCTTGCCTGGAATGGTGTCACAAGGCGTTTAGAACTGGTTCTGTGCCGACGTTTTTCTCTTATGACCTAATTCCTGATTTGATTCCTTCTTGTCACTCCTGCAGCCCTTCTCAGACATTTTATTTCCTTGGTTACTAATTTACTTTTACGGTTTGTTGTAAGTGACCACGTCTGGCACTGGTAGCACAGGATGGGAATGAAAATGCTTTGTATGAGATGTCTCTTTGTGCTGATTGGGACTGTCTTAGGTTGTAAGAGGGAGGCTAGATGTCCTAATACTTGGTTTGGCTTGGTAGTTATGTCTACCATATCTGATGTTAATTTCTTTTATCCAATTATACCACAAAGTCCCCACCCCCCCCCCCCCCCTGGATTACATACCCCCCCCCCCCAGTGAAATCCCCCCCCACTTAGAGAGAATCCTTGTGACACCCCATTCATACAAAGCATACATGGAAAGAGAAGAAGGATGTACTTTTAATCAATTCTGACACAGAGGATCCTCCATGAAATGACGTCAAACTGTCCAATCTCTTTTATCTTGGTCTCCCTCTGCCTCTCCTTCCCTCCAACTCTCCTACTGTCACTATGTACTCCAGTTTCCTCCTTCTCATGATATTTCCAAAGAATGTAGATTGTCTCTTTCTGATGTGGGCAATCAGTTCATTTCGTGAGTCAGTTTCTTTCAAGACATCCTCATTTCTCTTATTATCTGTCCAGGGTATTCTCATTAATGTCTATAAAACCACATCTCCGCAGCTTCCAAATAATTTTCAACTAATTTACCAACAGTCCATGATTTACTTTCATATATCAAGACAGAATGTATGTAGCTTGTTAAGAATTCTCTTTCTCGTCTCAATCGACAAAGAAAGATTGCAAAAAAATATTCTACATTGTGTAAAATGCTGCCTTTGCTTGAGCTGTTCTACGTTTAACTTCCTATATACATCTTCCATCTGATGTTATCAGGGTACCAAAGTTCTTCAACATATCAACTTGCTTTAGGTTTGTCCCATTTACTTTGTCCCTATCCTGCGCCACCTTAAAAAAGCGGTACATAAAGGCAGGAACAATAAATTATATACCATCAACAATGACTACACAAAACAATAATCTACGCTAACTAACCTTTTTAGCAGAATTACCATCCACCATTGGGATGGCTTTTTTCAGATATTCATATAAGCCATACATTGGCAGGAAGTCGATGTCTGAGAGAAACATGAACGGAGTACGGACCTGCGAGATGGCCACGTTTCTTAAATAGTTGACTGGATAAAATTGCTGAAATTAAAAACACAAGACACCATCAGTATGTGCAATGATGACAAGCAGCGGCTGCCATGTTTTGAAACGTCACAGGACACCATAAATCATTTCTCCAATGCTGCAGTAGAGTGCAATGGTATCTGAGTTTACATATCCTGGAACCACATTCACTGAAGATGGCAAACTGGATAAAGAAATGTCCCTGTGTGGGTTCTAAGGCCCAATTGTGGGAGGAAAAAATTAATATCTAAATAAAAGAATAGACAAACTACCCCCTCAACAAGCATGTAGTAAGAGTAAAGATTTGAGGTTTTGATGTTTTGAACAACGGATTAAAATCATGCACAAGGGTAGTAACCCATAAGTGCTCTATTCTTCTTCTAACTCATATCTGAGTCTGAAGAAGCTCAGCACAGTGCACAGGCTCTGTAACACCGGAGCGATCCTTAAATACTTTGGGTAGATTTTTAACTCCAAGTAGGCTACTCTTTTTGATTTCCAACTGCCAAGGAATTTTTTTACGTGAGCAACAATGCACACCGGCGTCCGATCTCACTACCCAGAGACGGGGGGAATTAAAGTCCAAGTCCACGTGAAAAAATCCCAGCCCTTATGGGGATTGAACCCAGAACCTCTAGCACTTGAGGCGGACACCATGCCTCAAGACCACACAGCGCCCCCATTAAAAGTAGAAGTTTCCTTCAAAGTCAGAGTGCATATCCGTGAAAGTCAAGGAACCAACAGACTGCATACAGATAAATCAGATCTGTAAAATGGATTTGCATGCAAAACTCAAGTTCTTGAACAAGACTGAAGTCCAGAGGTGAACAAACCACCAAAACTTTCTGCTGAAGTTTACAGTCGGCGAACGTGAAGAAGAAGGGTGATGAAATTTACACTGGATTCAATGGGGCTAACCCAGTAATGGACACCTGCTCCCTCCTCCTACAGCGAAGACAATCCCAATCAACAGAAAGAAACATCTCATGCAAAGCATATCCATCCCCACTCTATGCTACCAGTACCAGGCATGATCACTCACATTAAACCATAAAAGTTGAGTTGAGTTGAGTCAAGAATTGACATCACAGCACTCGGGGCATTCCCAGGCATGCTCTGTCCTCATTTTCAGCAGCCAAAGCAGAATTCCAATACTGATGGTACCGGTCACAATCTGGTTAAAGGCTATCTTGCCTTTCCTCTGAGTGTAGTGAGCTGGCCAGATCCTCTGGTAACACCCAGGTGCCTCATTCTCTCCAGGCCACAATAATCTTGTTTCTCTACTGATTCCCTTGCTTGTTCCCAAAGGGCCGTGACCACATCTACCCTGTCATGTATCAATTCACCACCCAGTGGTGCTGATCCATAAAAGAAAAGTAGCAACCACAGAAATGAGATGTCTGAGATAGGCTGCAGGAGTGATCAGAAGGGATAAATCAGGAATGAGGTCATAAGAGAAAAAGTTGGCACAGAACCAATTCTAAATTAAAAACGAAGACAGCAAATCAAATGGTTTGGCCACTTAGAGAGAATGCCCTGCAACGGCGTACCATACCAGGCATACAAGGAAAGAGGTTACAGATGTAGAGCATGAGACAGACCAGGAACAAGGAGGGGAGAAAAAAAAACCATGAGAGAAAGTCTACAACACAACGCCTCTACTGGCAAGGTGACCAGAAGAGCAAGAAGCAGAACTTTGTCTCCCCTCCTCAACCCAAAGTAGTAGAAAGGGATAGTAAAGAAGAAGAGCCATTAAACAAAAAATACACCCCCCCCCCCTCCCCCCACCAAAAAAAAAACAAAAAAACAACAGGACCCTTCTCCATGCATTAGGCATACAGGGCAAGACCTATATTTAATAGACCAATCAGCACTCAGTGGGTGATGTGATCAACATCACGCCAGCCGCCTTGACTTCCCAGGACTATACCTGGTATCCACTGAAGGCTGGGTCGACCTGGAAAACTGGGTCGTTTTAATGAAAGACAACTAGTGACAATCCAGAAACTGACCATACCCCTTCCCTGTAGACAATGTGGTAGCCGACGTAGATCATCACTAAACAGCCCACATGTGCAAGAAATGCGAGAAGCAATCTAGTTGGCTGGTACGAAAACCTGCCCACCAATCTCAAGGCTTGCATTATGGGGTCGACAGGTCGGCCCATTAGTCTTTTTGGCTATTTTGCTGTTTGGCCAATAAATCAGCCGAGCTGTCTCCAAAGGGTTAAAAGGGTGGTTGGCTTAGGAAGCAGCTAGACACTGGGGTTCTCAACGTTCCAGAACCTCAAAGTATATTATTATTTTTATTTGTCATTCAGCAAATTATAATTGTTATCTTTATTTCTTCTTAGCATTCACTGGTGGTAAAATCCGGCAGAAAATTTTGGTTGTTCGTCCATGTCTGGACTTTGGTCTTGTTCCAGAATTTGAGTGTTGCAAGCACATTTATTTTACAAATCTGGTTATTTGTATGCAGACTGTTTGTTTCTCGCCTGTCAGGCAGATGTACTTCGGCTTTAAAGGGAACGTCCCTGTGTGGGTTCCGGGGCTCCATAGTGGGTAAAACAAGAACAGACCCACTGCCTCCCCAACAAGCATGTCGTAAGAGTCGACTAACTGGGGGTTTCTTTTTAAGTCGGAGTGCATCTGACTGAGAGGTAAGGAACCAACAGTCAGCATACACATAAGTTAGATCTCTAAAATGGATGGGCATGCAACACTCAGGTTCTGAAACAAATCTAAAGTTCAGAGTTGGACGAACAACCAGAATTCTCCGCTGGAGTTTACAGCCAGTGAACGCAAAGAAGAAAGAAGAATTGCCTTTTAAAAACCAAACAGCCAGCAAATTCTGGGGTTGGATTTGCTTTATCTCAGACAGGATACATAACTAACTTTGACCTGGCAGCCAAGGTCACTTTTGAAAAAAAAATCAGCCATAATGGAGTTTTAAACCCAAGACATTGAAGCTGGTAGGTGAGTTTCCAGCCATTACACCACTGCAGCTCTCTGCAAAATGTAACAAATAACAACCATTACCTGCAATCTGTCCATGGATAGCTGCAGCACCAAAGTCACGTCGTAATCGCTGGCCGGGGCCTCCTGGTAGTCCAGGTAGTAGAGATGTGTGCGGTGGACAAGCTCTCGCTCCGCTCGGAAATCGTAGCAGTCATCATCTTCTGTGTGGTCACTCAACTGCATTATGTGTGACAACGAATCATGTAAGTCGTGTGAAGAGGAAAACTGGAGTTGGCATGCCAATAGGGAAGACAGAGGGGAGGAAAGGCAGATGGAGACTAGGAGAGATATTACTGTAGGCTTCCTTCGAAGTCTGGAGTACATATGCCCGAGAGGCAAGGAAGCAACAGTCTCATAAAATTTAAGAGAATACTCATTATTTTACTAAATGCTGCCTTTGTTTGAGCTATTCTACATTTAACTTTCTATAATACATCTCCCATCTGGTGTTATTCAACTTGCCTGAGGACTTTCCTTGTGTCGTGGAGCGGATAACAGGATACCAGACATAATATCATCATCATTATGTGCTCTGTCAGCTGGCGTAGGCGCCCATGCGTCTCCACAGATCACGATCCTCTGTTGCCTGGACCAGCTCTCTTGATGATATTCCTCCATGCCATCGTTTCAGACCATCCAGTATCATTTCTTTTGGTCTATATCCCATATCTTGGACTATATCCCACCATGACATCGTTTCAGGCCATCCAGTATCATCTCTCTTGGTCTATGGTCTATATCCCATTTCTTGGTCTATATCCCACCATTTCAGCCCATCCAGTATCATCTCTCTTGGTCTATGGTTTATATCCCATATCTTGGTCTATATCCCACCATACCATCATTTCAACCCATCCAGTATCATCTCTCTTGGTCTATGGTCTATATCCTATATCTTGGTCTATATCCCACCATACCATCATTTCAGCCCAACCAGTATCATCTCTCTTGGTCTGCCTCTACCCCTCTTTACACTGTCACAATGTGTTCCAGAGATAATGTAGTCAGTATAATATCAGCAATGGGGTGAGGGATGGGGAAGTGTTCTCTATAAAAAAAAACTTTAATTGCACACATCTTTGGGGAAAAAAAAAGAATTGTGGGTCTCTGTGGCAAAGTGGTCAAGCTGTCTGCCTTGCGCTCTGAAGGTTGTGGATTCATTTCACACACTGTGGTAAAAATAGTTTTTATGAAAATCGTGAAGATAGCCACTGGAGCTAGAGTTCATGCTTTGTGCGACACTTTCTGCTGGCCATTCTCCAGAGGAAGAGAGAGAGACCAAACCATATAGGATAAAACCCGGTGCAATGAAGTCGATCTTCTTTACTTGAACTCTTTCAGTCCCAAGGAATGCATCATGCATTCATAAGTTCCTACCTAGAAGCCAAATTAACGCAAGCTGCGCCGATTATACATTTCTCTGTACTTCCCACTGGGCCTCTGATGCTAAACCTCCTGGTGCTGAAAGTGTTAACATCAAACTTTCGGGAACATAAACATTGAATTGAAATTAAACTATTGTAAGGTAACTATGCAATGGATACCATCCCACTGTGGAGTTTCTGGAAATGAAAGAGCTGATAAACTAGCTAAGGAAGGTGCAAATGAAGAGCAACCTGAAACAGCAGTCTCTTATCTGCAAAAGAAGAAAATAAATCAATCAGAAAGCCACCAAAACCGGCACAAGATAGTTACCATTTTATGGTCAGACCAGAGTAAGTTATTATTCTACGCCTTAGAACAGGACACAATCGACTTGGCAGCCACATGTACACATAATTTAAAATTGGCGAATCAGTAACGTGCACGTGTGGATTGGCACCTGAGACAACTGTCCCAAATACAACATATCAAGGCAAAACTTGTGGCCAAGATAAACATCGGTGCAAGTCAAACTTTGTGGGTCAGTGAGTGAATTAAAAAAGACAGTGAAGTTTATACTAGAGACAACATTGCAGATATAGATAATCTATTTCAAGAATGAAAGAAGAAGAAGATTGTTTTTAAAAAAAAAACTTTTTCAGTCCCACAAAGTCCAAGCTAATGTCTGAAGGAGTTAGGAATGGCATAACTAAACTTATGGGTATACTAGTCCCAGTGGGGCCAAACATACAACCCTTGCAGGAAACAGATACATTGTCAGAGTCCTTCACTAACATCAGATGTAAAAAACATACATAAGATGTTGACTGACTGACGTTCAACCCCACCAGGACATCACACCGAGCAATAAACGCCCGGTGACACAAAGAGCGACCATTTGGTTGAGGATCACCCGGGGACAGGTCCCAGAAACCCCATTCAACCGCTGGACTATACTTAGGGCCTCCGACTAAAGTGGGGTGGAGTTTACAACAACAAAAAATACGTCCGATACTGCGATAGAAAAAAGTAAACCTAAGATGTTGACTGGTACAAGTAAATAATACCTGATCCAGCACAGTGCATCGTCTGGAACATACAAATTTAATGTTGTTTAAAATAAAAGGGAACTAACCACAACTTCCTGAGTTTGGTTTGATGTGTTATTAGAACAGCCTAGCAGCTCCTTGCGCAGTAAATTTCCATCATATTCCAGAAAGGTCAAGTACATGTTGCGGAAAAACTCCACGTGTTTATTCTTGACTTTTAACTTCATAGGAGAATTCCAGTGGATAATCTGAGGAAAATCATAATGGATATGGAAGCAGTTAGATTTTAAACCTTAAGACATCTGCTGTGTGACACAGAACATATATGCGTATGCACAGTGTGCTATGATATCAATTCTTAAACCAGTAATCCGTAATAGGTAGTTCAAGATTACAAGATTTTATACATGTTTACAATGGATAATCTGAGGATATACATTTACAAGGGAAAATGTGATGACACAGAATTACAAAAAATAACCTAAAAAAACAAACTGTATTAGATTAGATAAAATAGGGATAAAGGCTCACAAGGATACAGAATATTAGCCTCTTTTGCATTCTTCTACTGTTGGGAGCAACATCCTTTCACTGCTGGGAGCAACATACTTCCACTGTTGGGAGCAACATCCTTTGATTGTTGGGTTCAACATCCTTCCACTGCTGGGAGCAACATCCTTCTACTGCTGGGAACAACACCCTTCCACTACTAGTAGCAACATCCTTCTACTGCTGGGAGCAACACCCTTCCACTACTAGTAGCAACATCCTTCCACTGCTGGGAGCAACACCCTTCCACTACTAGTAGCAACATCCTTCTACTGCTGGGAGCAAAACCCTTCCACTACTAGTAGCAACATCCTTCTACTGCTGGGAGCAATGTCCTTCCACTACTAGTAGCACCATCCTTCCACTGCTGGGAGCAACACCCTTCCACTACTAGTAGCAACATCCTTCTACTGCTGGGAACAACACCCTTCCACTACTAGTAGCACCATCCTTCTACTGCTGGGAACAACACCCTTCCACTACTAGTAGCAACATCCTTCTACTGCTGGGTGCAACACCCTTCCACTACTAGTAGCAACATCCTTCTACTGCTGGGTGCAACATTCTTCAACTGTTCGGTACAATATCCTTCCACTGCTGGAAGCAACATCCTTCCACTACTAGTAGCAACATCCTTCTACTGCTGGGAGCAACACCCTTCCACTACTAGTAGCACCATCCTTTCACTGCTGGGAGCAACACCTTTCCACTACTAGTAGCACCATCCTTCTACTGCTGGGTGCAACACCCTTCCACTACTAGTAGCACCATCCTTCTACTACTAGTAGCAACATCCTTCTACTGCTGGGTGCAACACCCTTCCACTACTAGTAGCAACATCCTTCTACTGCTGGGTGCAACATTCTTCCACTGTTCGGTACAATATCCTTCCACTGCTGGGAGCAACATCCTTCCACTACTAGTAGCACCATCCTTTCACTGCTGGGAGCAACACCTTTCCACTACTAGTAGCAACATCCTTCTACTGCTGGGTGCAACATTCTTCCACTGTTCGGTACAATATCCTTCCACTGCTGGGAGCAACATCCTTCCACTACTAGTAGCAACATCCTTCTACTGCTGGGAGCAATGTCCTACTGCTGGACAGACCACACTCCCACAAAGTCCAATAGAAACATCTTTCCATTGCTGGAAGAAACATCCCTCCAATTCACTAATGAATCTGCGTTTTAATAGTTTCATTACTCAGGATCAGGATTCATGGAAACAAAAATTACAAGCTTAGTCCTCTTTGAGTCGCCTGAGGGCCTGTTATATTGAGGACTGTTTCTTTGCTATCTTAGCTTGAATTCAGTTTCTTTGTTGCGAACAGAATTTTTCCTGAGTTTGTTTATTTGCTGCAACATGTCGGACGCAGGGTTGCAAATGAGATTTTTTTTTTAAAACCCAGCTAAGCTGAACAAAAACCCAAGCAATACACAGGCAAAGAACCAAAAAAAAAAAAAAAAAAATCCAAAAAAAAAATAAATGTTAAAAAGTAAACAGTTTATAGTTACAAAACAAAACATTTACCCACTTTTATATAATATTTTTTAAAAACCCATATTTCAAAATTTGAACCCAAGGTGTCAAATATTAACCCAGATCCGGGGGTAAAAACCCATCATTGGCAGTCCTTGTTGGATGTGGTTTGACTGGGCTTTTGATTTGGCTGTTTTTTGCAGTTTGGTGGTGGATTGACAGCCCTAAGCAGACTCAAGCAAATGTAACAAAAGAGTGTACTCACTTTAAGATCAGAAACTTCACTGTAACACTGCTCACTCTGAGTGTTCATGCTGAGTTGGACATTCCACTGACACGGAAGCCGATAGACCAGGTAGTCATGCTGCTTGATCACCGTGTTGAAGATGTCCTGCAACAGTTTCATCCCACAAATTATTTTCTTTACCGAACATTCAAGGGCAGCTTAATTATGTGAAGATGAATTTATTGATTGGACATTTGGCCTCAAGAGCAAAGTGTGCAGAGCAAGCTATGGGGGAACCATGCAAGACCTGCAGCTGACATGCAAGTTCATAGAGGCAACCCACCTGATGGTCTGATCTGAGCATAGGAAACCAAACGCAAAGAAGAAGGAGAAGAAAATTTGACATTAATGACGTAGGCCTTATATTAATTCATTTAAACTGAGGACATACCAGATCAATCCAGCCTAAAATGGGTACCAGGTAATGCCCTGGGAAGTAAAAGCAGCCAGCATAATGTTGACCACACAGTGACATCTGGTCTAAAAATATGAGTCAATACTGCGTTGGGAAAGTGTGGGAAAAGAGGGGAGGGGTGGGATTACACTCACCTCATATATTGTTATATAATTTAAAATTAAATTGTACATAAATACATTTTGATAATTTCATTTTAGTTTATCCTGTCTCGGGGAATCAGAGAATTCCTGGGGAAAGTCCAATATTATGGGGTGGGGGTGTTAGGGTTAGAGTTAGTCGGTGCTTTTTTTACACTGTAACACTCATATAATATTTGACTTTCCCAAAACTATGGGGTTCCCCCAGGTGGAGTAAACTAAAATAAAAGTACCAGCATTTTAAACAAATTTATTAGTAACCTGTGTAAGACTCTGTGTGTATGTATATATATATATATATATATATATATATATCTACATATGTATATTTATAGAAGAATTCCCACAGGGTCATGGCACAATTCTTTAAATTACTGGGGTTAAAGTTGCCGTGGCGGAGCGGTTAGATGCTCGCCGCAGATCGGAAGGTCATGGGTTCGCTCCCTGGCGGAGCTGGACATTTTTCAAAAATGACACTAGCTCCCAGGTCGACCCAGCCTTGAGTGGGTACTGGGTGCAGTCTCAGGAAGTAAAGGCGGCTGGTGTGATGCTGACCACATCACCCCCTGAGTGCCGATTGGTCTATAAAATATAGGTCTAGCCCTATATGCCTAAAGGCGTGGAAATGGGTCCTTTACTTACTGGGGTGGAAGTGTTAATGATACATTGAACATGAAAATACACGGAAGACTGAGAACCTTTCGGACTGACTGTGAGGACAGCAATGTTCAGGAAAGAGCCTGCTACACGACGATGATAGATTTGTATTTAAAAGATTGACATATGAGACAATTTGTAATGGAAACTGATCATCTGCGGCCAACTTCGTCCTGTCTCTCTCTCACATATCATCACGTGCCGTGCCGTGCCGTGCCCAGGGGTTTGGGCGCTTACGCCACTCCACAGACCTCGGCCCTTGGTTCTTTGAATGAATTCCCCTGATAATATTCCACCACGCCATCACTTCAGGCAACGAAGCATTGTCTCTCTCGGTCCGCCTCTGGCCCTTCTACCGCTAATCTCTCTAGTCATCATGATGTTCTGCAATGTTCTCTCTCTCTCACACACACACACACACACATATGCGTGCGCGCAAGCACAAACGATTAACCTAGAATAATCAGTTGAAAAACGACACTAGAAACTAAATGAAATAGCTGATACATGCCAGAGGTGATTATTCTTCGGGTGAGCCCAGGACATGTGTCAACTCTGCATTTGTGGAAGCCTCCTTGGATGGCGGGAAATGCCTGTGATCTGCCTCTGCTCGACCAGTCTACATACAGCTGCCGTGGATGTTTTTTTCTTCTATTATTTAACCCTGTTCAACCTGTATTTGAAAGGTTATAATTAGAGTGTTTGATGTTGTTTCTTTCTTTTTCATCTGCTTGAAGGTTGCGGTTGATTTGGCTCATCCTCCCACAGGGGTTTTCTTTGAAAATTCACTATCAGTCTGGCGAGGTTCTCAGGTGTCTGCTTCTCTTCCATCTGCTGCCTGGGGTCTCTCTGGTGTTGCTCTCTTTGGCGCTACCCCGATAAGGGCTTAATCATGATAAGGGCTGCGCCAGCATCTTCTGTTGTGTCTAATTCTATGGCTTGTTTCCTATTGGTTGTGGCTGGCAGGGGGGCTGCGTGGTCTCGAAGATGGTGTCCGTCTTGAGTGCTAGAGGTTTCCGGGTTCAATCTCTGGTAAGGGCTAGGAAATTTTCCTGTGGACTTGGACTTCTAGTCATTCCCCTGGTCTCTGGGTAGTGGGATAGGATGCCCATGTGCATTGTTGCGCACACAACAAAATCCCTGTGCAGTTGAAAATCGAAAAGAGTAGCCTAACGGCACTGCCCAGACGAAATTTGCAGTAAAAAATCTACCCGAAGTATTTCAGGATCCTCGCCGGTGTTACAGAGCCTGTGCACTATGCTGAGCTTCTTCGGGTGCAGACTTGAGTTAGAAGAAGAACAGAGTACTTATGGGTTACTATCCGTGTGCCATGTTCTTCCGTTGTTCAAAACCTCAAACCTGTGGCTGGCAGAGGCTGTCTTAGGTTTGGTATGGCTGCTTTCTGCGTGGCTGCTGTAGCAGGCGGTAGTGGTCCTTAGCCTGCTGCTAGTGCTTCTTTCTTCTGGGTAGTCGTCTACCTCTATTTCTGGATCACTGGCTTGGTTTGAAGTATTGAGTGCGTTCTGGATTTTTCAGATTTCTTGTCTAGGACTTTCTGTTTGTCTTTAATTTTCCTCATGTGTTGTTGCACTTTTGCTGAATTCTTTTGAATTTTTCTGTGTCTTTTTAAATCAAGGCCTGCAGCTTTTTCAGTTCTGCTTTCTTCTTGTTTACATCCTCGACAGAGGTGGCCTTTTCTACTGCTTTCACCATCTCTGTAGCCTAAGACTTGTGCTGCTGCTTTGGTTTCAGAGTCCCTGTGCCTTTCTCTGCTCTCTTCACTGTCTCCATGTTCAGAGACTTGTGCTGCTGCTCCCGGGACTCAGGTTCTATGTACTTGTCTACCGTGATTGTCTTCTGGGTGGGTTGAGCATCGCTTAGCTCCTTGATGTCTGTTTGTAGTCATCTTCTTTCGATAGCTGACATTCCTCGCATTGTCTCACTCTTTTTTCGGGCTTCATTATGTGGATGTTGTCAACTATCGCCGACCTGATCATCTTCTTGCACTCCTGTATGTATGGGCGGCTGAGGTACCTTGCTCCATGGTTGCCGAAACAGTTCGCACATTTTCTATTAGTGTTTAGCTTTCTGTAGTCCTTGTCTCTCTTGGCTAGGCTGCATTCACTGTAGGGGTGGGCCCCGGAGCAATATCAGCAAATTTCCACCCTGCTGTGGCAGCTGCCTCTGATGTGAAAAGCATTTTGACATCTGCAACATTGTAGTAGCTTAGGTATGTAGTGTTCTGTTGTCATCATCTTATTCCCCAGCAATATGGAATTTGGTATGCAGTTTCCTTTTGTTGTGACTACTATTACTGTGGTTAGTACATTGTCTCTCCTAATGATCCTCTCTGCGCTCTGCATCATCAAATCTGGATTCTCTTTCTCCAGTTGCTGTTTAATTTGCTCGTTACTGCTGTCCGACTTCGTCTGTTTCACCACCCATAGTCTCAGCTGTTGGAACACACTCGCCTCCACAGTTATCTCATGCGGCAGCTGTAGCACTGGTTTCTTGTTCTGTCGGATATCGCTAAGTAGTCTGTTGGTTTTCACGCTTCTGCTGAGGATTTGCCGCCACACCATCCTTCATCTTGCGGATCTGTGTGACGCATCTTTTTTTATCCAGTAGATCTTCAATTGTGTTGATGATCATCATGGCCAACAAGGCTATCAATTTAGCCTGCAATTCATTGACTTGGGTTAGCTTAACTGTGGTTGAAAAAACGTCCTCTACTGGGTGCTTCTCCTCATTGTGTTCTTGGTGCTGCCTGCTATCAGCCCCCTTGAATGAGGTGGCCTCTTTCTCTGTCATCTGCTTACTGGTAATCACTGCTGTAGATGTCAGACTGATTCCTCTGCTGCTGAACCATACGTGCTGCTTGTCTGGTTTATCTGCTATGGGCTCGTACAAAAAGAACACTACATAAATAATGCTATGTCATGTCCCTCCTAAACTATCTAGGAAATTAACCCGGCCAACAAATGCTCGATGAAGTCAGATGTGTTGGCAGAATGGCTCAAATATGACAGCTCTGCTGTAAACACGCACAACGCAATTATGTCACTCAGACGAATGATAAGAAGAAGAAGAAAATAACTGACACATGATATGCGCTTCTTCTGGGCCCTTACCTGGTCAGCCAGCGAGACAGCCAACATGTTCATCAATTCTTTCTCGGCAATCAGCCGCCACATCTGCATCCAGCCGATTTCTCTGAGCATCTTTAGGTCCAACAGGATAACACCAGTATTGAACCCTCTACCCTAGTCATCACCAAACAAGCCAAGTTAATCATTAATGCAGGATTGATGAGGCCCTCAGCTATATAAAGCTCTGTGGCCCCTTCTGTTTTAAAAATACCAGATAATCTCAGAAAACTTTTAACAATATATATACCTTCTAAATATATGAATGATGGAAACATATTGTTGGTTAATTTTGTTTAATCTTTACTTCAACAATAATTAAGAATATATCTGCAAAATCATAGAAATTACATTACATAATCTTCTTAAAGGCTCTATAAAAGAAAATTACATTTGTAAACAAAAAGGAGAATACTAATGCTCATAAGTTGCACTGTGTTTACGGCCGCCAAGAGAAATGATATTTTTAGCAGCAAGTGAGGAAAGAACCCTTTTTGTACCAGTGGTTTATCAGACAGGCGAAGGGGCTTTAAATTAAAACTTAAAAAGTGTGATGAAAATTACAATTACCAAGTCAGTGTCTTGTAACCTGTCTTCTTCTTCTTCTTCACTTTCACAGGTTGTAAACTCTGGCAGAAAATCCTGGTTGTTTGTCCACCTCTCGATGTTAGCCCTGTCCCAGAACCGCAGTGTTGCGTGCACATCTGTTTTACAGATCTAGCTTATTTGTATGCACACTGTTGGTTCCTTGCACTCCGACTACAAAAGAAGGTCCCCCCGCTGTTACGACATGCTTATTGGGTAAGCAGTGGGTCTATTCTTGTTGACCCCACAATGGGACCCCGGAACCCACATGGGGATTGTAACCTGTCAATATTATTAAGGATGTCAAGAGTGTCAAGCATGTGAAATTGCAGTGCAGACGAATACTGTGACATCATAATGACAGTTCAAAGATGGCTACCCCAATATATTAAGAAAACGGAAGCAATGGTTATATCAAAGAAGAAGATATCAAAATTGAAGGAAAAAGACTTAACCAAGTCAATTAGTTCAAATATCTGGGAACAATCATATGATCAGATGGAAAATGTGTTTCAGAGATTAAAAGCAGAATAGGTCAAGCGAAGGCAGCATTTCAGAAAATAAAAAAAATATCTTATGCAATAAGTTGCTTTTATTTAATGTCAGAAAGAGAGTGCTAAAATGTTACACAGAACCTGTTCTGTTGTATGGCAGCGAATCTTGGAATGTCAGTGAACAAATTAAGAAGAATTTGGAAGCAATAGAGATGTGGTTTCTGAGACAAATGTTACAAATACCTTAGACGGCAAGAGTAACTAACAATGATTGTTTGAGAAGAGAGCCATTGGAAAACATGGTGACAGCTGGAAAGATCAGTGGAAAAAGGGGTAGAGGCAGACCAAGTGAAACGGTATTGAATGGGCTGAAACGATGGCATGGAGGGATATCATCAAGAGAGCTGTTCCGGGCAACCAAGGGTCGTGATCTGTGGAGATGCATGAGCGTGTACGCCAACTAGCAGGGCACATGACGATGACCCCACTTGATTTGTTATCCATATTTTGATCAGTGAAGTGGCGAAAACTGCGGAAATTCAACAGCGAATGAAGCTCCTGTATGGTGATGTATGCTTGTCATTCCAGCAAGTAATGAATGGAAAAGGAAGTTTCAAAAGGTCATGACTTCTGCGACCGACAGCTCACAGTGGTGTGTTAAAATACTGTAATTTTATGATTATAATGGATTTAATAAATAAAGTAAAGTAAAGGACCCTTTTCCACGCCTTCAGACGTATTGGGCATATCGGGCTAGACCTATATTTTATAGACCAATCGGCACTCGGTTGGTGATGTGGTAAACATCCTGCCAGCCGCCTTTACTTCCCAGGACAGCACCTGGTACCCACTGAAGACTGGGTCGATCTGGGAGCCACGGTCAATACTGCAGAAAGTCCAAACCCACGACCTTCAGATCCATAGCTGAGCATCTAGCCGCTACACCATGGCGACTCCCTTTGATAAATAAATGCTCTCCACATTTGTTTTCACTTCTGTTTTATTTGTCAGCCAGTCCATATAATATCCCCCCCCCCCCCCCCCCCCGGTGTAAAAAGACTGAAGAGATTTGATATATTTGCTTGTTGTTGTTGTTATTGTTATCGATCCAGCGGTGCATGAGCTTTCACCCTGTGGCTCAATGCCATGTAGTGGAATTTGCATGTTTTCACAAGCTGTTCTTTTCCTCCGTACAAGGTGTTCCACTTGTCTGGTCTCGGAGGGAGTAGCGTTCTTCTTGTCTCACTGAGTTCTGGGCACTCAAAGAGATGGTGTTCAACAGTTTCGTAGGGGCAGAAAATATTTGCTTGTAAAAGTTCCCTTTTCACGCTAGCTGAGCATCGGTAATATGAGGCTAGTCTCAAATTTTAATAGCCTAATCGGCTCTTCATGGGTAATTCGGTCCACATCTTGCCGGCCGCCTTTACTTCCTGGACTTTAGCTAGTACCCATTTAAGGCTGGGCTGACCTGGGAGCCAAGGTCATGTCTCAAAAATGTTCAGCTCCATGTGGATTTGAACCCATGCTCTTTGTATCTGCAGGCGAGTGTCTAGCCGTCAGACCACGTCCGCTCACCTCCTTATTATGTTAGCCATCTGTATAAAAGAACGACCGGACGCAACAAAATGGTGGCTGGAATTTTCACGATTTGTTTCTAGTACGTCAATCTAGTTTACCAGAATAATTAAAATTAGGTGCTGAAGTCGAAGGCAATCAGCCAGGAGGCGCACCCTAAAAATCAGGATACCATGCCCAAACGCTATAGGAAATATATCTTTATCTGTCAATAGATCTAGTCTCAAAATCATGCACTGGAACTCGGAGGGAGTTAAAAGTAAAAAAATTAAGACAGTGAAGTTCATACTAGAGACAACATTGCAGATATAGATAATCTATTTCAAGCGAACGAAAGAAGAAGAAGAAGATGTATAATAGAACAGGTGGACACATCATCTGATACTCACTAATGCAGGAAGAAGAAGAAGAAGATGTATAATAGAACAGGTGGACACATCATCTGATACTCACTAATGCAGGAAGAAGAAGATGTATAATAGAACAGGTGGACACATCATCTGATACTCACTAATGCAGGAAGAAGAAGATGTATAATAGAACAGGTAGACACATCATCTGATACTCACTAATGCAGGAAGAAGAAGAAGAAGATGTATAATAGAACAGGTGGACACATCATCTGATACTCACTAATGCAGGAAGAAGAAGAAGGAGATGTATAATAGAACAGGTGGACACATCATCTGATACTCACTAATGCAGGAAGAAGATGTATAATAGAACAGGTGGACACATCATCTGATACTCACTAATGCAGGAAGAAGAAGAAGAAGATGTATAATAGAACAGGTGGACACATCATCTGATACTCACTAATGCAGGAAGAAGAAGAAGGAGATGTATAATAGAACAGGTGGACACATCATCTGATACTCACTAATGCAGGAAGAAGAAGGAGATGTATAATAGAACAGGTGGACACATCATCTGATACTCACTAATGCAGGAAGAAGAAGAAGGAGATGTATAATAGAACAGGTGGACACATCATCTGATACTCACTAATGCAGGAAGAAGAAGAAGAAGAAGAAGATGTATAATAGAACAGGTGGACACATCATCTGATACTAATGCAGGAAGAAGAAGAAGAAGATGTATAAGAGAACAGGTGGACACATCATCTGATACTCACTAATGCAGGAAGAAGAAGAAGAAGATGTATAATAGAACAGGTGGACACATCATCTGATACTCACTAATGCAGGAAGAAGAAGAAGAAGATGTATAATAGAACAGGTAGACACATCATCTGATACTCACTAATGCAGGAAGAAGAAGAAGAAGATGTATAATAGAACAGGTGGACACATCATCTGATACTCACTAATGCAGGAAGAAGAAGAAGATGTATAATAGAACAGGTGGACACATCATCTGATACTCACTAATGCAGGAAGAAGAAGGAGATGTATAATAGAACAGGTGGACACATCATCTGATACTCACTAATGCAGGAAGAAGAAGAAGGAGATGTATAATAGAACAGGTGGACACATCATCTGATACTCACTAATGCAGGAAGAAGAAGAAGAAGAAGAAGATGTATAATAGAACAGGTGGACACATCATCTGATACTAATGCAGGAAGAAGAAGAAGAAGATGTATAAGAGAACAGGTGGACACATCATCTGATACTCACTAATGCAGGAAGAAGAAGAAGAAAGATGTATAATAGAACAGGTGGACACATCATCTGATACTCACTAATGCAGAAGAAGAAGAAGAAGATGTATAATAGAACAGGTAGACACATCATCTGATACTCACTAATGCAGGAAGAAGAAGAAGAAGATGTATAATAGAACAGGTGGACACATCATCTGATACTCACTAATGCAGGAAGAAGAAGAAGATGTATAATAGAACAGGTGGACACATCATCTGATACTCACTAATGCAGGAAGAAGAAGATGTATAATAGAACAGGTGGACACATCATCTGATACTCACTAATGCAGGAAGAAGAATAAGAAGAAGAAGATGTATAATAGAACAGGTGGACACATCATCTGATACTCACTAATGCAGGAAGAAGAAGAAGAAGATGTATAATAGAACAGGTGGACACATCATCTGATACTCACTAATGCAGGCCATGGGCGGTGATTTTTCCATAACTTGCCCAAATACCAGTCACTCTGGTTGTCGACAAGACCTATAGCCTTGAAGATAGGCAGATGTGAACGTATAAGTAGATTTTTATATGGGTAAACATACAATAGCTGTAAACTCCAGGGGAAAGTTCTAATTGTTTGTCCACTCCTGAAATCTGGTCTTGTTCCAGGATGAAATTACGTGTACATGCGTTTCATAGATTTGGCTTATTTGTATGCAGATTGTTGGTTCCTCATCTCTCAGTCAGATGTACTCCAACCTCAAAGGAAACATCCCTAATTAGTCAACTTTTATGTTAAGAGGAAAGAGAAGTGCCTGGGGTTTCGTAGAGAAAGCCAATAAAAAATCTTTAGTGCAAGACAGCCTAGCATACGAAACCACGTCTAGCATGAGAATGGAGGTGGAGACAGTAACTGCAGCTCTCCGTTGGCTAGACAAGATGCATATACATGTAATTGTAACAGACTCTGACGGCATGCTGAGAAAGGTGAAGACAGGGATGCTTTAAGCAGAGTGGCAAGCTTCACTGGTAAGGTCACGGGTAGTGAGTATACTTTAGATCTTTTCTCCAAGGCCCTTTGGGAACAAGCAACGGAATCATTGAGAAACATGATTAGGCGGAGGAAGGAGGGGGAGGAGGGGAGGGATCTATTCGTTTTCACCCCAAAATGTACCAATTAAAGATAGTGAGATTCACTTGGGTCAAGAATGGGCATGCAAAGAACAGGGAAAAAAGGGGAAATTTCATGAAAAAATAAGTTTAGGGAGGTAATCTTAAAAAGTTCTTGTGATCCTTCCCTCCATGGGCATGCGGGTGTTCTGGGAAATAAACAAGCATACACATTAGCTGGTACTGGGGTGTGAACTGATGCTCGAGGTCATTTTACAGACTTATTTGTATGCAGGCTACTGGTTTCTTGTCTCTAAGGCAGATGCACTCCGACTTCAATGCTAAACCCTAATTAGTGATGATTGGTTAGTAAGGACTATCATCACCGCAGTCCAGACTGATCCTTAGGTGCTCCAATCTCCTCCTTAGTAGCTCCATAAGAGTAAAATGAATGAACACGCCCCTTCTGTGCTGACTAACCAGACATTTGTGCTCTTGGTGAGACGATCATTTCTGGCTACTCCAGGGCGCAACCCTATGTCCACCAGCCTGGATAAGGATACTGAGTCCTGCTTGTTGTCAGGATCTTGTCTGTGACATGCATCTTGCATAGCACTGAGGACATTATTCCTGTCCAGTGCCAGGCGAGTTGTGGTAATCGCCTCGTCTGCCAGATAATCTGTACGTTCATGGCATGAACACCTGGATACCCGCTGCACAAAGATTACCCCTAATTAGTAGACTCTTTCTATGTTTGTTAGGGAAGCAGTGGGTCCATTCTGGTGCTCCCCCACAATGGGGCCCTGGAACCCGCACCGATGAGATGGACACATAATCAGATGACAACTGGCACCACTTGTATTAGAACTCTTCCTGTGTGGGTTCTGAGGGGCCGGTCTGGGGTGGGGGTGAACAGACTCCCTGATCCTTAAAGCACATGCCATAAAAGGCTAAATTTATGGAAAATGTACCAAGTGCTGTGATCACTCATAACTCTTGTCTTTGAAAAAGAAAATGGTGACCACCAATTATGTACCTTTCCGGAGTCATGTCTTGCTGGGTATGTTTTGGTCCAGGTAATCTGTCTTGCGGGCTATGTTTTGGTCCAGGTAGTGTGTCTTGCGGGCTATGTTTTGGTCCAGGTAATCTGTCTTGCGGGCTATGTTTTGGTCCAGGTAGTGTGTCTTGCGGGCTATGTTTTGGTCCAGGTAGTGTGTCTTGTGGGCTATGTTTTGGTCCAGGTAGTGTGTCTTGCGGGCTATGTTTTGGTCCAGGTAATCTGTCTTGCGGGCTATGTTTTGGTCCAGGTAGTGTGTCTTGCGGGCTATGTTTTGGTCCAGGTAATCTGTCTTGCGGGCTATGTTTTGGTCCAGGTAGTGTGTCTTGCGGGCTATGTTTTGGTCCAGGTAGTGTGTCTTGCGGGCTATGTTTTGGTCCAGGTAGTGTGTCTTGCAGGCTATGTTTTGGTCCAGGTAGTGTGTTTTGCGGGCTATGTTTTGGTCCAGGTAGTGTGTCTTGTGGGCTATTTTTTGGTCCAGGTAGTGTGTCTTGCGGGCTATGTTTTGGCCCAGGTAGTGTGTCTTGCGGGCTTTATTTTGGTCCAGGTAGTGTGTCTTGCGGGCTTTGTTTTGGTCCAGGTAGTATGAATGAACAACGCATCTTCAAATTAATAAAATCGAATGCACCACCACACACGAACACACAAAAGAGCACATAAGCAATGATCCACATGCAGAACAATTAAATGATTGACAGATCAACAACTTTCCACTAAGAGTTGTGGGGAGGATCAATTTGTGGTCTAGCACACTGGCTACTGTCACTGTGTATAGATTTATAATGTCTTTAATGTCATCAGGCTATTTTCTCATTGATCAGTCAGTCAATTTATCAAGTGTCATTCTCCAGTTTCTTCCACCCTGGATGTTCACTCTCTCAGACCACTGTTTGTCCATCTCTTTAAGTTGTCCACCCACTTGTATCACTCTCTGCCTCTTGCTCAACTTTTCACTCAAGTATGGTTTTTACATTAGCATTATGGCTTTTCACCTACTGACACAGAAAATAAAACCCTTGAACAGCTCAATCGATATGGGTTTTTTCCTTTGTGAAATGGCTGTAATCTTCTTCTTCTTCGCGTTCACCAGCTGTAAACTCTGGCGGAAGGTTCTGGTTGCTCGTCCACTACTGAACTGCAGCCCTGCTCTAGAACCTGAGTGTTGCGTGTGCATCAGTTTTACAGATCTCATTCTCTTGAATACAGACTGTTGGTTCCTTGCCTCTTCGGCAGATGCACTCCGACTTCAAAGGAAGCTCCCCAATTAGTCGACTCTTACGACATGCTTTTGGGGAGGCAGTGGGTCTATTCTTGTTTTCCCCACAATGGGGCCCCGGAACCCACATGGGGGAATGGCTGTAAATGAGCTGTCTCTTCCTTTTCTTCTTCTTCCTAGCATTCCCTGGCTGCAAATTCTGATAGAAAGTTCTCTTATCTGTCCACTTCTGGACTTGGAGTCTTATTCCAGAATTTGAGTTTTGCTTGCACTTCTGTTTTACAGATCAGGCTTAATTTCTGTATGCAGACTGTTGGGTTCATAGTCTCACAAGCAGATATACTCTTACTTTGAAGGAAACACTCCTATCCCTTCACAACATGCTTGTTTTGTTTGGGGAAGGTGAAGGTAAAGGTAAAGGTAAAGTCGGGAGATGTGAACCAGTGTCATTGCACACGGTTATAAACCATAAGTGCTCTGCCACCAGTAAGGGACAGCTGATAAGAATTGTCCGCCTGTGTCGCCGTTCGCACGTAACTCTGTAGCTACAGCAACGTTCCTCCATTCACCCTAGAGTGTCAACTCTGGTACCCATTTCCTAGAGACCAGGTGAACCCCGGAAACCGCTCGGTTTAGAACACCGACCGTGGGCTGCAGCAAGTCGCAGCTGGATTTGAAAGCAAGCCTCTTATCAACTGCGCTAACGTGACTTCGTTGTTTGGGGAAGGGGGGGGGGGGGTGATATTTTTATTGTCTCCCCCAAATGGGGCCCTGGAACCCAAAGGAGACATCAGTGTGTGAGATAATGCTAGTGACACGAATGACAATGGCAAACCTGTTTTCCTCGTAAAACCCTAAAAATTTTCCATAGTTCTGCAATATCTGTGGCAAATGTGACGTCGGTGTCAAGGACAATCACCTGTGCAATGAAGACAAGATTACAAAAATCAACCTACATTGCTATTAATGAAAAGTATTTACATTTTTAATCTGAATATCCTGCCTACACAGCCTGTTGCCTTAGTTTCTTATTCTTCTGTGCTCAATGTTAAAGAGGCAGCTGGTATTTTGTGTTGTGGTTTACAGCTAGGCTGTGATATCTGCACCTTCTGGCCAAACATCAGCAAACTTTTAATTAGTCGCCTTTTTTAGTCAACATGCTTGTTAGGTGGGATGGAAGGAGGATGGGGGGGGGGGGGGGGGGGTGTTTAGTGGTTCTATTCCCCCCCCCCCCCACAACTAGGGCTATAGAATGGGTGTGGGGAAGGAGGGGGAAGGGGGGTATTGGTACCCTAGTCTAAATGGAAGGGAAAAAACTTTCCTGATCTGTGAGTCTGGTGATCATGTGAGATTGTGAAGCATGACAGGATCACCAGAATCATGGATCAGATCAATGTTCTTGCCTCACCTCATCTATGTGGCCAAGCCATCCAGGTATTGATCTCTTTGCCTTTCTCCTGCTCTCTTTTCAGCAAACTTGCCAGTTGTTACCACGTTCTAGAGTCCATGCCTTCTAACTCCCGAAAACCACAGACTGTCCACGTTTGTTCTGTCTAAGACACGTGTGTGTCTTAGAGTGTGTGTTTGTGAGAGTGTGTCTGTGTGTGTAACTGTGTGTACGTTTGTGTATATGTATGTACGCATATATGTATGTACGCATAAATGTATGTGTGTGTATCTTTGTGGATGGGGTTGTATGTATGTGTGTATTGGGTGCCTATGTGTGTATGAATGAGTACCACCCATGCTTTTGTTTTTGATTTGATATTCATAATATGCATATTATTACGTAAACATAACATGCTTTTTTGATAAAATACAACTGCTGTGTGAAAGATTGGTATGTGTGTATGTGTGTGTGTATGTATGTACACCTGTATGTATATGTGTGTGTATGTATGTACATGGATGTGGTTGTATGTATGTGTGTGCTGGGTGCCTATGTGTGCGTGTAAGTGAGTGAATGGGTTTGTGCTTTATTGATAAAATACACCTGCTGTGTGAAATATGGCCAAATGTGTGCCTATTTGTGACCTTTTGAAAATAAAGTTTTTTCATTCGTTCATTCGTCTGTTCGATCATCTCATTGTTCTAATAAGTTTACAGTTTTCATTTGTCATGATGAGAACTGCTTCGTTTGATTTTGTATCAACGGCCTAAGAAAAAAAAAAAGAAGAGTTAATTGCGTATCCTTTACATGACGTTGCAGAACCAACCCTAACATGTTTGTGGCTGTTGTGGTTTTTCTAGGCACATTTTATATTCTGTAGTTTGCAACTGCTTTCTGAACGGTCAGCTATTGGTACCACTGTCCAAACCAACACAAGACAACCCTCCACAGCTGGGATCGAACCCGGCACCCCGGCATTATGAAGCACGCTTGCAACGCCTAAGCCACAGATGCTGACAAAAAAAATTACTATAAAAATTTCAACAACAAAAAAAAAAGACCGAAAAACTAACAGACCTTGTTTATGTGGCCAGGCAGTGTCTTGGGTAAAGTGAGCTTCATTAGGCCAAACACTCCGGAGTAATGTCGATTGGGGATCCATGAGACATCAGGCTTCAGGAAACAAAGTACCATTTTTTTGCATTTATAGAACAAAGCACAATTTTTTTTAAAGTAAAATAAAGGACCACTGACTGGCATCTATAGAACAAAGCACAATATTTTAAAAGCAAAATAAATGAACATTTGACTGGTATTTATAGAATAAAGCACAATATTTTAAAAGCAAAATAAATGAACATTTGACTGGTATTTATAGAATAAAACACAATATTTTAAAAGCAAAATAAATGAACATTTGACTGGTATTTATAGAATAAAACACAATATTTTAAAAGCAAAATAAATGAACATTTGACTGGTATTTATAGAATAAAACACAATATTTTAACATTTTCTTGCCACAAAGATACTGGGCATACAGTGATAGATATTTTTTTTTTAAAGATCTTATTTCCTTAAGCATTCACCGGAGGTGAACTCCAACAGAAAGTTCTGGTTGTTTGTCTACTCCTGAACTTGGGTTTTGATCCACAACTTGAGTTTTCTGTGCACATCTGTTTGACAGACCTGGCTTATTTGTATGCAGATTGTTAGTTCCTTGCCTCTCAGTCAGACGAACTCTGATTGTGAGGGATACATCCCTAATTGTTCGCCCCCACTGACATGCTTGTTGGGCAGGAAGAGGGTGGTAGTGGTGGGTCTGTTCTTTGTTCTCCAAGATGGAGCCCAAGTACCCAGACTTTACACGTGACTACTGGGTGTTCCAATTGCTAATAAACTACAGACATTCATTAACTCGTGCCTGCGAAGAATAAAGAGAATTAAATGGTATGATAGAATCACTAATGTAGAGTTTTAGGAGAGAACTAAGCAAGTTCCAGTGGACCAAGAGATAAAGGAAAGACACTGGCATTGAATAGAACACACATTGAGAAAACCGGAGAAAAAAATAACTAAAATGTCTTTGCATTGGAACCCACAGGGGCAAAGGAATAAAGAAAGGCCAAAAAACACATGGAGAAGGGAGCTGGAGAAAGATGGGGAGGACATGGGAAAAGCTCCATGCAATGGCAAAGGATAGAACGACTTGGCGTGTGTTCGTTGAGGGCCTATGCTCCATTGGGGGCTAGAAAGGCAAAAGAAGAATACTGGGTGTTCTGTTCTGAGTCTCCTGATTGCTTTTTCTTCTTCTTCTTCTTTGCGTTCCACAAGCTGTCAACTCTGGCAGAAGTATTTTTTTTTGTTGTTGCCCATTTGTGACTTTAGTCCTGTTCCAGAACTTGAAATTGTCAGGCAGTTTTACAAATCTGGCTTATCTGTATGCAGACTGTTGGTTCCTCACCTCTCAAGCAGTTGCTCTCTGACTTTGAAGGAAATACCCCTAATTTGTAGTCCTGTATGACATGCTTGTTAGGAAGATAGTCTATATTTCCATACAAATGGGCCCTGGAAGCCACAAAAGAATGATAGCATCATACTTAATTCATTTCTGTCCAACAACAGGTTATGTTATGTTATGTTATCAATCTTCACTTTCGTCCCCAGGCAGTCTGGTGTGATAGGCAATAAGAGAGCAGATGCTCTGGACAGGACAGATATCATCAATGCCATCAGTGAGACTAAACACTCTGAGACTTTCAGTTTCGTAGAAAATTATTTTTCACTGAATAGACTGCATACCCTAGGAGTACCTATTGGAGCTGCGAGACAGAAAAACCATGTGGAAGCCACCCGTCGTCACATCAACAAGAACAGAATGGGAGTTTTTAGCCTAAAAACACTTAGAGACATACTCAGGAGCAGATCGGAGCACTTACGGTCATAAGAACAATGAACGATGTTATGTTATCACAATCAACATCACTACAAACTGGGCATTCCCATGTGTGCTCAGTCCCCCAATGCAGCAATACTCTAAAATATGAGGCCTTTGCCAAGTTTATCTGAGCTCTTAATTCCTGGCACCACTCACTAAGACTGTCCAACAACAGGCGACTTTGTAGTCAGAATAAATATCGCATCATTTAAGTAAGGGAGCCTGCGTGGTCTAGAGGCTAGACGCTCGCCTGCAGATCAGAACAGTGTGGGTTCAGGTCCAGCCTTGAGTGGGTAGCAGGTACAGTCCTGGAAAGTAAAGGCGGCTGACGTGATGCTGAGCACATCACCCAACAAGTGACGTTTGGTCTATAAGGTTTCAAAATGTGTCCTTTACTATCTTTAAGTAACTGGACACATTACTGCATGACACATTACTGCATGACACATTACTGCATGACACATTACACATTACTGCATGACACATTACTGCATGACACATTACACATTACTGCATGACACATTACTGCATGACACATTACTGCATGACACATTACTGCATGACACATTACTGCATGACACATTACTGCATGACACATTACTGCATGACACATTACACATTACTGCATGACACATTACTGCATGACACATTACTGCATGACACATTACACATTACTGCATGACACATTACACATTACTGCATGACACATTACACATTACTGCATGACACATTACACATTACTGCATGACACATTACACATTACTGCATGACACATTACACATTACTGCATGACACATTACACATTACTGCATGACACATTACACATTACTGCATGACACATTACTGCATGACACATTACTGCATGACACATTACTGCATGACACATTACACATTACTGCATGACACATGACACATTACTGCATGACACATGACACATTACTGCATGACACATTACTGCATGACACATTACTGCATGACACATTACTGCATGACACATTACTGCATGACACATTACTGCATGACACATTACACATTACTGCATGACACATTACACATTACTGCATGACACATTACTGCATGACACATTACACATTACTGCATGACACATTACACATTACTGCATGACACATTACACATTACTGCATGACACATTACACATTATTGCATGACACATTACTGCATGACACATTACACATTACTGCATGACACATTACTGCATGAAGATTACACAGTGAGTAAAACAAACAACAACAAAAATTAGAACTGGTCAACTCCACCAGAAAGCAATTCACAAGGGACAGATGAAAGTTGCAGCTAAAAAGCCTTCCTCAGCATGCAAAAATAAAAGGACAAAGAAACAGCTTAACTTTTCAAAAGCATCAATCCCAGAGCCAACAGAATATAATTTGCCTCAGAAATAATACAGATAAAGAAGAAAATTTAGCGCACATTTGCGTATGATCATTCTTACCTTCACAGAATCAGCAGGATAATAACTGACTTGCACTGAAAATAAAATAAATTCAAACTTATAGCTTCTGGTGGTGTCGACAGAAGTCAAAGGTTGGACATTTAATAAGACGGATCTCTGTGTGGGTTCCATAAACCCCATTTTGAGGTGAGAAAGAATAGACCCACTGTCACCTAGCAAGCATCTTGTAGAAGATGACAAACTGGGAGTGTTTTCTTTGAAGTCAGAGCAATTTTGCCTGAGAGGCATGGAACCAACAGTCTGCATTCCAACAAGCCAGATCTGTAAAACAGATGCGCATGCAAAAAAAATAAAAAATTTGCAGAGACTAAATGTGTGAGACCAAAATGTGTTGATATCGCAGCCTAGCTGTAAACCAGAACTCAGCATGTCAACTGCCTTTTTCAGGGTGAATGTGGGGAATATAGGGCAAAAAAATAAAATAGCTGGCCTAATCTAGAAGTCTGGCATGTGCTTTAAATGTTTTTTCATTGCCCTCTTGAATTACTGAATTTCCACCTCCGTGGCACCTGCTGGCCAATCTCTGCATTCCTGGCTCGTGTGATTATGACTCTACACAAGTCGGACTGTTCAGGTGGCACTCTGACCCACTCCTCTCCTCGCCTAATATTCTCAAGGATGCAAACCTGTCTGATTGTGTCTTCTGCCTGAGCCATCCATGACTTTCCTCTAATCAGCCGCTGACCCTTAACTGCGCCCAGAGATTCGTACAAAGGTTGGTCTGTGTCTGCAGCTACCTTGAGAGATTAATTCAAGATAATGCTCGCTCAGAGGATTTGATTATTTACAGAGATGGTTCAGAGTCAAGAGGCAAAAAAAGTGCTTGGGGTTTCTTAGCAAAAATAAAAAGTCGACGTTTGGCGCAGGAGAGCCTAGCATATGATACCACAACATCCAGCTTAAGAATAGAGGTGGAGGCGGTCACTGCAGCTTTCCATTGGTTAGAGAACACGACACACACAGGCATCATAATTATAACTGACTCAGAAAGCATGCTGGGGAAGGTCAAGACAGGCATGCTTCATTGCGGAGGCCATGGGTGAGGAGTTTTGTCTGGATTTTTTTTCACCGGACACACCTGTGTGTTGGGAAATGAACAGGCGGACAGACTGGCTGGCTCTGCACAACTTGGAGGAATACGGATGCATGATAAGGCAGACGTGCTTAATGCCTTGTGGGAGAGCGTGTACAGTTCCGAGGAGCAGATGGACCACCACAGTCTGGTGAGATTGATGCAGCAGGGAGTGACGAGAGGTTCTGGCAGATGCTCGAGGCTCAGAGGAAAGGCAAGATGAATGTTTAATTAGAATATTACTGGCACCATTAGTATCGGAACACTTCACTGGCTGCTGAAGATGGGGACGGATTGTTTATGGGAATGCTCCGGGTGCTGTGATGTCGGTTCTTGAATCAACTCAACTTATTCATCCCCCTCAGGTTTGGGGTAAGTAATCTATGATGTTCGTAAAATTATAACATTGTGTAACAATACATTCTCGATTTTGTGTAAGTTAGTTTATGATATTCATCAAGTGATAAGCATTGTCCTCATGTGGGATGCAACTTTTAGTTATTTTGAAGCCCCACCATGGCTTTTGCTGGGGGCCCTAAATATAGCCAGGCCTTAAATATGGCCTAACAGCTGAACAGGGTTTTCGGGACATATCTATGGGTGATCCTCATCCACATGGTGGCCCTTTGTGTCACCGGGTGTTTATCATTTATGTGATGTCCTGGTGGGGT